GACCAACATGAATTTGACCCAACTCTGGGAGGCAGTGGAAGATAGGATAGCCTGACATGTTCTGCTCCATGTGGTCACGAAGAGCCGGACACGACTTAATGACTAAACAACGACGATAGCTAGATAAATATTAGCCATGCAGTCCCACTCTCATGTCTGAAGAAGTAAGAGTTGATGTCAGTCCTCGAGGCTACAGTCCCTGGCTTCCTTGCAGCATGATTTAGAATTTGTCCATGAAAGCTCACATTAAAATACAGTGGTGCCTCGCTTAACGATTTTAATTGGTTCCAAAAAAATCATCGCTAAGGGGAGACATCACTAAGCGAAACGCGGTTTCCCATTGAAATGCATTGAAAACCGGATAATCCGCTCCAATGGGAATGGATTGCCGTCCTTAAGCGAAAATCGCCATAGGAAACATCGCTAAGCGAAACGCGGTTCCCCCATTGAAATTCATTGAAACCTACGTATTCAATGCATCTCAATGGGGGGGGGATTACAACAAATTTAAAAAGAGTCAGAACAAAGTCAAATTAGTTTAACAAAGGGTTTATTAAGTGCACTTATGATTTCAAGCATTCTAAACATTTTTAAACATATGAAAAACAGCCAACATGAGGCTGTCAAAACCATCGTTAAGCGAAACAGGGGGCCCCAAACTGTCATCACTATGCGAAGCATGGTCCCAAACATTGTTATGCGAAAATCGCCCATAGGGAACATCGTTAAATGGAGCGCAAGATTGCTCCAAAAAAGCCATCGCTAAGCGTATTCGTCACTAAACGAAGCGCTCATTAAGCGAGGCACCACTGTATAGCAGTTAGTCTTCAAGGTGCCACAACTCTCAGGGGGCCCCAAACTGTCATCACTATGCGAAGCATGGTCCCAAACATTGTTATGCGAAAATCGCCCATAGGGAACATCGTTAAATGGAGCGCAAGATTGCTCCAAAAAAGCCATCGCTAAGCGTATTCGTCACTAAACGAAGCGCTCATTAAGCGAGGCACCACTGTATAGCAGTTAGTCTTTAAGGTGCCACAACTCTTTCTTCTTCTTTATTTTTGTTTTGTTTTTGCCTGACACACTTGGAATTGCATAATCTCTTTGGATCTGTTCAGAAATACTGCTGTCAGCATTGCTATTTGTAGAATGTACAATCTTGCTTTTTGCCAGAACATTCCTCCCAAGTGGTTTACAAAGAATTCATGTAAAATTTCACATCAGAACTAAACACCAGTAAGAAGCAGCAAATGCAGTTTAGAGCCTTTTAAAAGCATAAGAGAATTGGATGGAATTCTGCAGGCACCTAAAAGAAAATGCAGATGGTGCTCTTTGGTAAGCCATGCCCTCCCAAACAAGGCCTTAACCCTCTCTCTTCCTCCAGTGACCCATCTGTTTTAAGTTTTGAGAGTAGGAGGTGGCACTTAAGAGAAAGCTCTTGGATGGTGTTAACTGATGGGCAGGGCGAAAAGGTTGCAGAGGTCTTGATCTGCAGTCAGATAGTGCTTTAATATGCCATGCTGTACATTTATGCTTGTGTTTGGGCTAGAGAAACCCACAGATTTAATTTCAGCAATTCAGAGGTGGAGCTTGGCCAGTAAATTGCTCATTATCAAAAGAGAAATTTTTTTGTCTATATATGTTTGCTTGTTCTTTCAAGGCTTCCTTACATTATATTTCAAGGAGGGATGCCACGGGCAAGTTATGGTGATCGACATAGCATTTCAGTCATTTATGGTAATCAACAGACTGCCTTTGACTTCACATCACGGGTAATCGACTTCTTTGTCATTGTCAATGAAGATCCATTTGCCGGTATGTATACGTAGAATAATATGGTATCTCCAGTCAGCTGTGTTAACTGTGGGGTACAAATTTCAGACGTAGCCACTTAGTTAAATTGCCAAAATGGTGTAGATTATTAATGCCCAACGGAATACCTATTTCCATATTAGTGAATTTTTGCAAACAGGTCCATCAAGCAGAATTTTGTATACAGGGTAATCGGCAATTGGGGGTTAAAGGTACAAAATGTTGTCATAGATATGGAGAAGCTGAGCAGCAATTGTTAAGCTGTGAAAATTAGAATGTAAAGCCTTCCACAGACACAGGGCTCTGCTTTTTGGCACTAGGATCTCCATATAAACTTGTATCAATAGTGTTGCCCTTAGTTCCTGTCTTGAACATTTAAATGTTATAGGCCAGTGGCTGCTAATCTAAGAGAAATCAGTCTTGCTGCCTTGTAGGGCAAGTGTTAGCTCTTGTTAAAACAGACTTAGAGGTGAAGGGGCAAGAATATCCATCCTGCAGATACAAAGTCACAAGCAGGCTCAAGTATTTGCAAACTGGCAAGCTCTTTAATTTTTATTTTTAAAAGGCAGCTCCCTGAACTTTTCTTTCTCTCTTTCCTCTTTTTTCCTCTAATGTCTTCATGTGTTGCCAGCAAGAAAAGCAGTAAACTGTGTGCTTCACTCTGGTACACAGGAGGGTGTGGGGGGGGAGGGATGAGTATTTGTCAGCAAAGAACAACTGCCCCACGTGATTTTCCTCAGAGCCCACTGACAACAGGATGGCAAACTCCCCGAAAGTCTGAAGTTCTACTGATTTGTCTTCGTTGATCCACTGTTGGCACTGGCTGTGCTTATAACACTGCAGACAGGAAATGTAGAAGGAAGCTGTAGCTGTTGCATACTTAGTCCAGGAAGTTGTTCAGTAGTCATCTGAGGTTTCTGTGGCAAGTTAGCTCCCTTGTAATTGTGACTGCTTAAGCTGAGCGGGCATCTGTCTCTGCTCACCTCACATGCTCCTATGTTCAGTCAGTAGAATGGGAGAGTGGGTCACTCATTGTGTATTAAATCCACTTATGCTAATGAGTAGTGCTTATGTAATTGCACCTCTGGTGCTAGGAATCATCCATTTATTTGAATGTGTCTGCTCTGATCATTAGGGGTGGCTACTTAAAAATACATTGTGTAATAGGGGCAAATGTCCAAATAATTTGTCTTTTATGAATATGATGGATTTTCACCCTCTTCTCTAAACAATACATTTGTTTAGTAGAGAAGTGCTTCCATTTTTCCAATTTTGTACAGTATTCAGATACGTTTCAAGGCAAAAGTAGTACATTTTTTCATGTGAATACCAGTCCTAACTGGACTGTTTTTCTACCTTGTTACCAATCTACCCTGTTACCAATCTACCCTGTTACCAATACTATTAGAAGTGACCCATACAGACTGCCCTGTTTGGTATATTCTGAATAACATTTGTAATCCGCTTTGCTCAGCAATGACTAATTGCAAGTTTCAACTTACAAAGTACGCTGTGTTTGAAATTTTGTAACTGGTGTATGTATGTGTCCCAGCACAGGTGGACTATAACTTAAAAGAAGAAACTGATTTTTCCCACCCTACCCATGTAGTGTTTCATAGGAAACAAAGACCAACAAAGGACAACATATATAAACAATATCCACATGGGCGACCCTTGATTATTCTGTGTTGTGCCCCTATAATTTGTACCTGTTATTAGGCACAACAGCAGTTTGAAATAAATTCTAGTTCTAGAGGAATTTCATTGGCACTGAGTTCCTTAGAATCTTTGTTCTGAAAGAACATGGCATTAATTGTTTTTGCAAAGGTGTAAAATTCACTTAATTAATAGAAGATTACAGCCCAGTCCTATGCCTGTTAGTTCAAAAGTACATTCATTTTCATGGTAACTTACTTCTAGACTAGGATATACAGCTCCACACAATTAATCTCTTTTTCATATGATTTATTTAAGTAATTAAATAATTTGGTTAATTGTGTATGTGAATATAAAACTCATGTTCAAGCCAAAAAATTGAAAATGTTGCTTTTCTGCCCACTGTTTTCTTTGTGTGCGTAATTCTTAAAATGGAGGCATTTCATCCTGAGTATGAGATGAAGGGAAATCTCTCTTTTATAAATATTGGTATTAAAAAATATATGTAGTCTCCCATTAATTGCTCCAAATTTTCTGTAAGTAAACAAACAACAACCTACAGGATGAACAACTTTGGACTTCCTGAGGGGAGAAGATTTTTATACCCCACCTCATGCCTCAGGCTGCAGAAATGTTTAAAAAATTGTGAGAATTGTGTTTCAAAAACAAAACTAGAAGTACCTGAGGAGCTGGTTTTGTTTTTGATCGTTGGGTCTCTTAGGAATTAGACCTGTCACCACTAAGGAAAAAAAAATCACTGCCTTCTCTCTCCCCCCGCCCCCCGCTTCCAGGACTCTAAAAAAAGCAGGATTTTGTCTTTTTTTAAAAAAGAACTTTTTAAAAAAGTGTTTAATTTGATGAATTGATTGCATGCTTGATTGCACTGGGAGCATGAATGGCTGTGGTACTGCAGGCTGGCTGGCAGGCTATACAGTATGTGGCCTCTAGGGTTATGCTCTTCCCGCTCCACTGTAAACCCTGTAGCGCTGTTTTGTCTTACTTTTCATAACTTACGCTGTTTTAAAATTAAAATATTGTGAAATGGTTGCACGCTTTAAAAGAAGAGCCTTTTGGAGATCTCAGAGACTACAAAAAAGTACACAAAATTGGATGCAGGGCTTTATCTTAGCTTAAAAGCTTTTAGGGACCTTAATTAATTTATTTCCCCAAAGCAGCCATGCATGTCTTTACTATGTTCAGTTTATAATGGTATCCACTGTCCAGTTAACAGGTGATTCAGTAACATTTCTGAAAGCAAAGGAGAGCACGACCGAGGAGCTGCAGAAGTAGCTTTCAAGCTTTAATGAAATTCTTCTGCTTGTCAGCCAGACCAACTGTTCTCAGAATCTGCAACATTTTAAGCAGCTTAGTTTGCTGGATTGACCTAAGTTCCTAGAAATGGTCTAACATTGAACTATCTGGGTCACTGCTGAGTAGGCACAGTGCATTCTGCCCTAGGCATGCTAAAAAACAGTCTATGAAAGACCCACCCACCACCCTATCCACCACTTTTTCTATTTATACCAAATAAATAACGTTCCTGAATCTCTTGTGATCATTTAATGCCAATGCAATGTAATGTAATGACCTTTTTTTCCTACAGATGAACCCGATAAGCATTTATTAATTGCAGAGTTGGTTTTACACCACCAGTCCTTGAATCAAAGATCAATCAAAACTTGTATTATACTTCAGATACTTTTTTTTTAAAGAAAGTGATTTATGAACAAGTTATTTGGATGGCTCTCAATAGGTTAAAATTATAAGCAGACAACAACAAAAAAGTAGAATATTGTAGTGTAAAAGCAGCAGCAGTAAAAATGAATCCAATCCACCATAAAAGCAATCCACAGACATTTAAAATGCCTGAGAAAATTAAATAAAAGGGTCTTTGCCTGTGCCAGACATCAAACAAGGCCCCAGGCAAGCCTCCCTGAAGAGGAAGCACTGCACAGTTGGGGTGCCGCTACCAAGCAGACCTTTTCCCCTTTAGCTTCCACTGCACCTCAGATGATGTGGCTAGTAAAAAAGAAAAAGAAAAAAAAGAAGGAAAGATAGTTGTTTTGAAGAACTTCGTGTTTCATCAAGCACATGTAGAGGCAAGTGGTCCTTCAGGAATCCTATTCCTGAACCTTGGCGAGCTTTAAACATGAAAGCAAATGCTTCCTAGCGAGCCCAGAAACAAATGGCATCCAGTACTTTTAATGCCCTGTCTTGGTCAAATGCCATGCAGGTTATATCTTGGCTTGAGCATGGACTAATTGCAGCTTCTGAATGGCTTTGAAATGGCAGTACCAAGTAATGGATATGGGCATGTCTCCTGTTTTTAATTTTTATTAAAATAATCCAAATTGTCTGGACAAACTGTGGGTGAAGAGTTGGCAAATAAGATGCAATGGATTTGAAATAACTGTATAGAAATTTAGACTTTTTTAAACCAGGGATATCATTTTTGCTGCTTTTGTTGCTTCAGTCTTTACAACACTTCATCCATCAAGGGTAAACTTCCACTGCTGTCATGTTTTGTGGTACAGTGCCTTGCCTTCATTTTGGCACATAGTTTGTCCAGATCAGTATTTAACTTTCAGGCATGTGATAATTTCCTCAGAGGTAGTGCACACCATATAGAGGAGTAATTTCCAGGGTCATTTTGGTGAGTGGTATCCACCCACATCTTCTTTATCTCCATTTATTTGTTCAGCTCATTAGGCTGAGGGGTCAGCTCATACAGAAGAGAAAAGACATTCATTGCTGGCCTATTAGATTAACTTCAACATCTTGCACATCATCTTCCCCTCTCTGTTGCAACCTCTTGTGCTCTACCTAGCTTTGTTCTAGAGAGTCCACCAACTCCTCCAGAACAAATTAGGTGTGTGTAGATATAAGGAAAGTCTGTTGCACTAATGGATTCCATTCCCCTGAAAGATGGGCAGGGTGAATGCGACCCGTTACTTGGTTCCCAAATTGTGGCTTGCATATGTTGTTAGTGTAGACCTCCCTAAATCCTCACCATGTTGGCTAGGACTTCTGGGACATGAATATCAGTGTTTGGGGATGCAGAGTTGGGAACCACTGCAATAAAGAATTACAGTAGTCTAATTGGGCATTTACCATAGGGTGTAACCTTGAAGCCAAGTTTGTTTTGTCCTTGGGCGGTTGCTGCTGATACATCTATCTAAATTGCTAGAATTGACAATTTTCTAATTATAGTTAATCCGTGATTTGTTTATTAGAATGTTTATATCTTGTCTTCCTAAATGTAAACCCAAAGCAACATTGACATACAACTGAATTATCTAAGTGGAAAATGTCACATATGAATATTGGCCAGTAACGGGAGTTGCAGTCCAGCATCTGAAGGGCACCAGTTTGGAGAAGATTGTGAATAAATTATCGTGCCCACGTTTCTCATTGAAAAGATTCTAGATTCCATCCCTGGAATTCGCACTGAATGCTTCTGGAACCGCCCAGGAATCACTGCCGATCAGTGATGATCCTGACCTGGATGGACCAACAGTCTGGCACTGGATGTGTCTGCTTCTCAGGACAGCCCAAGCAAAGAATTTCTGAACTCTGTCACCTGGTACTGACTGACTCAGCCAGGTGTGACGCTTATTCCACATGAACAACATGCCATGGCATTCCCTCACCTGCTGGTGTATCATGACTAGAGATGGGGGTATTCGTATTCGTATCTGAATATTCCCCCTCAGGTGCAGATAACAAGGATCCAGCCCCCTGGGGCCAGACTGACCACTCACAAATTTTGTCGCTGCCACGAGCTCCACAAAGCCTTCCTATCTCTCTGTTGCTCTCAATGGATTAGCCGTTCTGCAACCTGGCAGAGAGGCTCATCATCCCACATTCTGCCAGGAGTGGCTAATCAGCAGCGGTGGAATAGTGAGTGGTCCATCTGGCCCCAGGGGACCGGATCCTTGTTATCTGCACCTGTGGGGGAATACTCGCATATGAATACCCCCATCTCTAATCATGACCTCCAGCTAAATCCATACCTAGATATTGATGAAAGTACTTCATTCTTTTTCCTCAGCTTCACCATCTGCTCTTCCCACAATGAAATAAATATTTGCTTTTCTTCCTGTAGAGTTTGATGATCCATCCGCAATGGTGGTGTTAGCAGAGGAAGAGCTGGTAGTAATTGACTTGGTGTCTCCAGGCTGGCCCTCCATACAGCCTCCTTATCTTGCATCTCTCCACTGCTCAGCCATCACATGTTCCCATCATGTCTCCAACATCCCTCTGAAACTCTGGGAAAGAATAATCAGTGCCGGTAGCAAACAGAACTCTCAGTTCTCTAAAATGGTATGATTCTCATATGTTGGTAAACCTGACGTGACTTTGAAGTGAATCTATAATGTTACTCCCCCTCCTCTACAAATTAATACTGGATTTTGAACTTTTCTCTCGGACTAAATTATAGAAGGTATTCCTGGCTGCTAAAGAAAGAGGGAGCAAAGAATAAGAGGAGTTGGGTTTTTTTAGCACCAAAATCTTGAGTTCCGCCCTAAGACCTTGGAAGTAGATAAGCCTCTGTTATAGAATCTGCTTGACTATGACAGTGTAGGAAAGGAAAATAAAACAATCCTTTTATAAGGTGAAGTAAGAAGGCTGCTATGAGACCTGTGCAAATAACGCTCATGCATTGTGAAAGATAATGCTTTTGCTAGTGTTGAGGTAGCGTGGAATGGGAAAACCTGTCCTCTTTTTTTCCCCTGAAGTCTTGAATAACAAAGTGATCAAGGAAGAGTTTACTGTGTAGAAGCAGAGGTTGAGTGGAATTGTCCTGAGACATTTCCACACCTACGCCCATGCCTTCTCCTCTGCCCCTTTCCCGCCAGTTTGTTTGCATTCACGTTTCTGTTCCGTTCCAAGTAGTGTGTGAATCTGAATCCTATATCATGTCACTGCAACAAAACTTGCCTGGCTATATTGTAATGCTGTTTGTATCATCAGTTACAGAATTTAGGCATTTCATTTGAGCAGGTATAGGTAACAGCTATAGCTCAGTGGTCAAATGACTTGCATTTCAAAGGCCCTGATCCCTGCCATCTCCAGGAGGAAGAGGGAAGAACCTCTATCTGAAACCCTGGAGGAGGGTCACATAACCTGCCCCTTTTGGAAGATAGGAAGACTGCATGGGCCAGCTCTGTCTCCCTCCTCCCCTGTGGCACAAATGCTTCCTTTCCATGCACAGTTTGGCATGGTAGAGGACAAATGACTTGCATTTCAAAGGCCCTGATCCCTGCCATCTCCAGGAGGAAGAGGGAAGAACCTCTATCTGAAACCCTGGAGGAGGGTCACATAACCTGCCCCTTTTGGAAGATAGGAAGACTGCATGGGCCAGCTCTGTCTCCCTCCTCCCCTGTGGCACAAATGCTTCCTTTCCATGCACAGTTTTGCATGGTAAAGGACAATAATTGTGTGCCATCAGGTTAATTCTGACTTATGGTGACCCTTTCAAGGTTTCCCAGGTAGAGAGTACTCAGAAATGGTTTACTATTCCTTTCTTCTGGGGGGTGCTCTGGGGCTGTTCAGCTTGCCCAAGATTGCACAGTCTGGTTCTCCTGGCAGGAGGCACAGTGCGGGGAATTGAATTCACAAATTCTGGCTCTGCAGCCGAGTGCCTAAACCAATGAGCTATCCAGCCAGCTTTTTTACATGGTGCAGGGAAGCAGCCTATTCACATATTGAGGAGCATGTAGGGGAAGGGGACTTGCAACAGGCCACAATCCCTCCTCGGGTGGAAGAGCTCTATGTACATACATCAGTACATATATAGAGTGCACTGTAGGATATGAATTCCAGCTCTCCCCAGTGGCAGCATGGGGTGTGGGTGCACGCATGCTATTTCAGGGGAAGCTACCCTCCCTGGCCCCACAACCGCTCTCCCACTGCCTTTCAAATTAAGGAGGAATGTTTTGTGTCAGCTCTGCTTGTCACTGTAAACCATATGGAGCTAGAGAGGCTGATTGTCTAAGTTTGTTTAAGGCATTTTACCCAGGTTCCTTATAGAGCTTGAAAAGCCAGCCTAGCTGTTGCTATAGTTAAAAATAATAACAATAACTTTTCCAAGCCTGGGATTCCAGACTCCTAGTTTGCAACAGATTCTGGCTCTGCAGGCGATGTCTAACTTCAGATTACCAAATGGGGCTTGATTTTCTCCATGATTTTCTACTGGGAAGTGAGTCTTAAGGGTAACTGAAGCTGGGGGTATTTTCTAACGTGACCAGTTCACAGTAAATAGTGGCATAGCTGCAAAATGCTGAGACAGAGTTAGGGCTTGTAAATATTCTGCGCTTTTTGCAGCAGCTGCTGCTTACAGAGAAAATTTAGGTTAATGGATTCCCTGCAACCTTATATTAAACCTTAGCAAAAAGAAGTTGGCTAGTAAGCCCTTAAGAACTGATGTCTAATCTTAATCCAAACAAAGACTAATCTGGGTTGATTTGGTCTTTAATACTTTCCTGCTTCCTGCTGCCTATCCCTTTTTTTGTTGCTTATGTACTTAAACTGAAACTATATGTAAAGTTGTATGTTTCTGTCAAAATATTTGTTTTTCCTAGCCATGGCCGATCAATGGAGGCATCAACAGTGCTCCAGATCCTCCTCAGCGGGACTTGCTACTTACAGGGTAGGTGTAATGAGATACAGATCCGCCCTTGACTTACTGTCGTGGAGGTCCTGACTCTGCAGACACTTAACAGGATGCCTCATATGTCATTTGTTGAGATGTGTGGGAAGGAGGGTGCTGTTAAGCTCATTTCCTGCTTGCGCACTTCCCATTAGCTTCTGATTGGCCACTGACTGGCTGCTGTGGAAACAAAATGCTGTAGTAGGTAACCCTGTATTTAGTCTTATTGAGCTGGACTCTTGCATTCTTATGTAGCACATCTGCTCAGTCAGTCTAGGATGGCTGGTCAATATAGAAGGAGAGCCCACATTTGTGCAACGAATGTGATGATCGTTTCTACCATGGGCCAGTTGTTGTTTGAAGCTTTACTGATAGCCAGTTCTTGTGAAAATGCCAAATTTTAAAATGAAATTGGTATTGCTGTGTTTCATTTTTAAAAAAAGCCAGCATATTTTTAAGTATTCTCTCAAATGAATAGGATGTGATGCTCCCTTGGTCTCGTTTGTATGCTGATTAGACCTTTGTTGGTGCTTTTTGGTGTATATAAGGGGGGTGTACAAGGAGGGAAAGGTTGTTGAGGGAGTGGTTGTTGGGGGAATTAGAGAGTGACAGGGTTAGATGTAGGTTAGGTAACTGTGTGTAACTGTGTGTTAAGAAATAAAGAACTGTGCAGGGTGAAGGTCTGATAAACATAGTAGTACAAGTGATTCTTTTACTGAGTGATTACCATTTTATTTCTGTATACAATAAATTATCATTTTTATTTTAAAATCCATACATAGTCTGAAGAGTCAGGTTTATGTGTGGTTGGTGGCAGCGAAGTACTGTGTGTGTGTGTGAGAAGGATCGTGGCCTGTCATCTCTTGTGGTGACGTAAGAGGAGGTGGCAGTCGCGACAGACAGTTCTTGTGAAAATGCCAAATTTTAAAATGAAATTGGTATTGCTGTGTTTCATTTTTAAAAAAAGCCAGCATATTTTTAAGTATTCTCTCAAATGAATAGGATGTGATGCTCCCTTGGTCTCGTTTGTATGCTGATTAGACCTTTGTTGGTGCTTTTTCACCTGGACTTCAAATGAAAATAATCTCAACTGGGCTTGCAAGATTTGCAGAGGGATCCCTGCCACATCAGGGTCCAAAGATTTTGCCAGCTCTGCTAAAGAGTTCGCAGAGCTCCCAGAATACCATGGACATTGTATCTGGGGCATTCTGGGAACTGTTGTTGAAAATCAAGCTCTTTGAGAGGAGGATATGTATCACTGATATGTTACCATCCCAGCACTTCAAAGTGGTTGGAGGTTTTAAAGGAATGCCATTTTTATACAAATCGTACCAGTATACTCAGCAGGGTCCAAAGATTTTGCCAGCTGTGCTAAAGAGTTCACAGAGCTCCCAGAATCCCATGGACAGTGTATCTGGGGGATTCTGGGAACTGTTGTTGAAAATCAAGCTCTTTGAGAGGAGGATATGTATCACTGATATGTTCTGTCTATGTTACCATCCCAGCACTTCAAAGTGGTTGGAGGTTTTAAAGGAATGCCATTTTTATACAAATCGTACCAGTATACTCAGTCCAAATTCATTCCAACTGCTCATATCCATGTGTATCCTCGTAACCATGTTGGTCAATATAAGGAAAGTCCTTTATAGATTTTGTTAAAATTAACAAAAAAAAACTCTCTCTAAGCAGATCATGTTTTCAGATTATGATCACGAGAGTTCAGTATCCTTTATGTGGAAAGCAGGCACTGATAATAAATTGATCTGCCTGCCTCTTTCATTCTTTTCCCCACCAGACATGAGGATGGTACGGTGCGATTCTGGAATGCTTCTGGCATTTGTCTGAACCTCATGTACAAACTCAGCACGGTGAAGGTGTTCCTTACAGATGCAGATCCCAATGACAATATGAACCAGATGGGGGAGGATGAATGGCCACCTCTGCGCAAGGTAAAGTAGCCAGAGATAGGTTTAGGCCTTCTGAACTCACGGCTTGCTCCTCCATACCGAATAGTTTTCGGGAAGCTGCTTTTTCGCAGCTGTCCCCATTCTTCTATATTCATGTGCTCTCTCTTTCTTATCACCCCTCCTTCCAGGTTGGTTCTTTTGACCCTTACAGCGATGACCCCAGGCTTGGGATTCAGAAGATCTTCCTGTGCAAATATAGTGGCTACTTAGCTGTAGCAGGAACAGCAGGACAGGTAATTGAAATACATCAAAATGACCTGTTGTGTATGCAGCCTTTACTCAGAGGGAGACCAGACTGCACCCCAGAGATCATCAGTTTGCTGAGGGTGTGGTTGCATGTTGACATCTGGATTTGCATTGGATTTAGCACACTTGAAATCAATTTTAAAATGTCTGTTTACACACTTAGTGCACATATTTTTTGGCTGGGGAGTGGGATGTTGTTTTTTTAATTAGTTTTTTTAACAGTCCCTTTAAGAGCTTGTTTATTTTAACTTGATTATGAGCCCAGTTTATTTTGAATTCTTTTTCCATGTGTAAGAGTAAATTGTGTCTGTAGGGTTTCTCAAGTATTAGATTGGATGCCAGGATCACAGGTTTCCAGGCAGCAGGGTAACCGTGCAGTCCTGATCTGTTATATATTTTTCTATCTGTAACAGTGATCTAGCACTATCCCAGTTTGCAAATAAATAATATTAAATATTAAACAAATATTAAAACATAGCAAGGGACCCAGAAAATTTACTTTTAATGCCTTCTGGCCTGCCTGCTGTTTCTCTTTTCTTCCAGGGAAATGGAGTGACTAGGCCAGCTGGCTTCTGGCAGAGGAAGGGGGGGAGAGTAAGCGGGGGGAAGAAGGGTAATATTGCAGTCTGATCTGTTACATCTGTAACACTGATCTAGTGCTATTCTCTTTTAAAAAATATTAAAATATATATATTTTTAAGTAGAAGAACATGGCTTTTATACCTGCCACCCATGTCACATCAATATGAGGAGTCAGGTGGCAGTGGCAAGTGGCTATGAGAGGCAGCCACCATAAGAATGGGTGGGCACAGGACCAAAACCTCAAAAGCAGTCCCGGACGATGTACCGGAGTGTCTCCCTGTACATACGGCAGCTCGGGGTTTTATTTTAGGTTTAGGTTTTTAGGGTGGACATTTCACTCAGTGAATGCATAGATTCAGGAGGGTAAAACACAGGAAGGTGAAGCCCTCATGGTGCCAATTTTAAAATGATTTTTAAAAACTTATGTAGCCTCCTCAACTGATACTGGACATCTTATACCTGGGTTAAAAGTTGCCCCAAGAGAACACACACACACTCACCCAAAAAACATATACTGTATTTTTCTTTCTAAGACACCCCATGTATAAGATGCTCCCCCCCACTTTTCTAACCCCCAAAATGTTTTTTCACAGGAAAGTGCTTTCCCCCCTCCACTTTCTTCGCAAAAAGTGGAGGGGGAAAGCAGGAATCAAAGTGCTTTGATCCCTCCTCCTTACTTCCGTGTATAAGACGACCCTCAATTTTTAATCAAATATTTTAGACAAAAGTATCGTCCTATACATGGAAAAATACGGTAAGTACCACATGACTTTAAACTGATTTTGAAAACCTAGCTCCAGCTCCTGATTTATTTCAATAGTATAACTGCACCCAGAGCATATTTTATATCTCAAAAGGAAGGGACACGAGATATATTTTGCACAAATTATAGACCTACACTCTTGACTCCATGCAAGGAATCTCAAAGGAATTTATCGAATATGCTTTCTCTCGTTGGTTATGTGCTGTCAAGTCAGAACTGATAGGGCTTTCAAGATTAAGTGAGGTATTTAAGGAGTGGTTTTACCAGTTCCACTCACCCAATGAGTTTCCATGGCCAAACGGGGATTCAAACCATATTCTCTTGAGTTCTAGTCCATAACACTATCCATTGGACCATACTGTGTGTGTGTCCAGTGTCCTTCTAAACCTAAATTATTTTGGTGGCAAGAATATGCACTCGGCATGGAAATTCACTGGGGGACAGCAATAATAAAGCACTGTTTGGACATCTCACACACCTCAGAAAACCTGTTTGGGTTACTGTAAGTGAAACTCATAGGACTTGAGAGGAAAGAGATAAAATGCAAAACTGTTCCGTAAAGCTTTTGTAGTTAAGGCTGAGAAGTAGAAGTGTGTAGACATGATGCTAGTTTTGTAATTCTGAGATTTCAGTGCATTCCTGATTGAACGTTTGACCCACTCCACACTCTCTATCCAGGTACTTGTCATGGAACTCAATGACGAAGAAGCTGATCAGGTGATTGACCATACAGAAGCCGATCTTCTCCAGGACCAGGAAGGCTATAAGTGGAAGGGCCATGAAAGGCTGAAAACTAGAGATGGGCCCGTTAGGTTTGAGCCTGGCTTCCAGCCGTTTATCTTGGTCCAGTGTCAGCCTCCAGCGGTCGTCACATCCCTGGCCCTTCACTCAGAGTGGAAACTGGTGGCCTTTGGTACAAGCCATGGCTTTGGTCTCTTTGACCACCAGCAGAAGAGATTGGTCTTGGTCAAGTAAGTGATTTATGCGGGAGTGGTTTGTTGGGGGTCGGGAGGGGAGGTTGAAACAACATGAAAATTATTCCCAACTCTCAAAGCACAGGGTTTAACACGAAAACCATGCATATAACTTTAAGGTATTTCATTAATGGGCTCTAAATAGAATGTACACAAATATTTAACCAGAAATACTTAGATAAAAATCTCAGCTTAGAAAATAAATGGCTTAGACAAGCCATTGTTTTGCTTTGGTTGTATACATTTATAAATGGGAAAGTGGGGCCCCTTAGGATGTGGATGAACTGATTGGACCATTTGGGTCAGGTTGACTCCAAACAGAGTTGGGTACTCAGGAAAATTCTATATGAAGAGGCAGTCCTGGCTTTCCCCCTGAATGCGGTGGATTTGGCTGTAATGATTCACCCTTTTTACCTCCATTAGACACTATACCATACTGTACAGGAAGCTGCCTTAGAAAAGTGTTCGGAGCTACAGCTAGTGCAAAATGCAATGGCCAAGACTGTCTGGTGTGTGGTTTTAAGGACAGTGCAACAACAGTCTTGAACCAATTCTGCGGGCTTCCAGTCCATTTCCAAACTGAGTTCAAATCAACATTTGTATTTCTTGTCACACACCAAGTCTACAGGACTGATGGGTGACAAGAAATGCAAGCACTGGTTTCTTAAACTTCAGATTTACGCCATTTGCTTTGGCTAGCAGTCAGAAGTGATAAGATTCTGGCCTTAATCTGGTGCAAATCACTTTGAAAGCCATGCTGGGCAGAAAGGTGATAAACAAATGCTACAAAAAAGTAAGTCAATAAATAACCAACCTCTCAAGCCCAAAGGTAGCCATTGACATCAAGGGGAGCCTACAATTGCAAGTTTCATATGCAGGTAGGATGCAAATTGACCTTCCTGGCACAGTCTAGCCAGCCAACATGCTCAGCCTCAGTCAGGCAGTGTTTAGGAGACCAAAATGCTTTTCCTCATTCCCTACTCATAGTCATTAATGGGATGATATTAACAATGAAACTGAGAGAGAGAGAGAGAGAGAGAGAAGGATCACCAAGATAATGCATGTGGAATAATTCCACAACCATTTTTCACTGTAAGAGCAGAACATGAAATCTGATACAGTATATGATGCTTTTCTTATGAAAACTGAACAAATCATTCATTTTCTAGTCTTGGTGGCTGCAGAGAAATGCTAGAAACCATTATTGTTCTGCAGCCCTTCAGGGTGCTAATGGACCCAAAGCTTCAGCTGCTAATATTTCACAGAAAGAAAGAGCGGACACAATAAAAGCGTGCTGCTTATATACTGCCCCATAGCGCTTCAAGCACTCTCTAGGCGGTTTACAATTTAATTATGCAGGCTACACATTGCTCCCCCCCCCCAGCAAGCTGGGTACTCATTTTATCGACCTCGGAAGGATAGAAGGCTGAGTCAACCTTGAGCCGGCTACCTGGGATTTGAACCCCAGGTCGTGAGCACAGTTTTGGCTGCAGTACAGCGGTTAAACACTGCGCCACGAGGCTCTTAATAGGCAGTATAATATTTTTTAGAACAATTCTGGCTGTCAGAATTTTACTTCCTCTTGTCTTTCATGATATTTCAGATCTCTGTGGTGAAAAATGTAGCAGCTCTCTTATTAGGTTTCTTGTGTTTTACTGTTGCTTAACTAAGTAACCACTAGTCAAAAAGAGGGAGTTAAGTCGTCCTATTGTTTTCATCCTAGGTGTACTCTACATCCCAGTGACCAGCTGGCCTTGGAAGGCCCTCTTTCCAGGGTGAAATCTTTAAAGAAGTCCCTGCGTCAGTCCTTCCGGCGGATACGAAGAAGCAGGGTATCCAACAGAAAGCGGCGAACCGCTGAGGTGAGGTGGTGCCCAGTTAGGCTCTCCTGGCGATGTGAAGCTCTCCTCTAGTGCCATGTGAATCACCTATTAAGAATCAGTGTGATATGATGGACCGAGTGTTGGATTGGGACTCAGGGGTCCTGGGTTCAAATCCCTTCTCAGCTGTGGAAACTCACTAGAGTGTGGCCATTATAACCCTCTCCTCAAACCTGTCACACACCTTGAAAACCATATTAGAGTCACCATAAGTTCCAAGCAACTTGGTGACACAAAACAGTCACAGAAGCCATTGTTTATAGCAAGAGTGCAGAAATGCAGATGATATTGGACTCCAGCTCCCATCAGACCTAGCCATAATAGCCAGTGGTGAGGAATGTGGGAACTATAGGCCAACAACATCTAAACAATCATTGGCTCTGCTCTATTGTCTTATAGCACTGTATCACTATCTTGTCATTTCGGACATTGGTACCTTACCTGAGGACAAAGAGGAGGTTATGGTTTAGGCAGCTAAAGATGGAACCTTTGGAACAAAATTGTGCAGACTTCCTCAGTTTAGTGGTGAAGCAAAACGCTTCTTTCTCTTCTGCCATCCTAAAGAGATGGGAGGAATTCATTATGCAGAAAGCCTTAGAAAGTATTCTATTTCTAAGGTTTCTCTTTATCAATGATAAATAGCAGTGGTTCCAGGTGTTCAACACTGTATGAAATGGCTGAGATGTTTTGACTATTTATTTAGTCTGTTTATGTATAACCAACCTTTGTCCCATTACGGAAGTGAAGATACCATACATGGGACACCCAGTCAAGCACTGATGAGACTGCTTCGCTTCAAAGAGTGATTGTGGTGACCAGAAGTAATATTGTAGGGACAGTTGTCAGGGATTGCTAGATAGCTCAGTGGTTTAGGTATGGCTGGGAGTTTGATTCCCCACCGTGCCTCCTTGAAAAGGGCTGGACTTGATAGGGACCCTTCCAGCTCTCTGCAGTTTTAAGATGATGGTGATGATGATGAAGACACATCCTTACTTGCCAGTTAATATTTGATCTCCAACACTGATCAAATGATTAACTTCATTGGAGTGCCATTATCTGCCTACTTGAAAGAGGAAAAGGTTTGCTCAGTTGCTTCCCATGTTGTTTTGTTTGTAGATACAAGAGAGACCTTCCAGAAATGATCACGATGCATTACAGGAGATAGAACTGGCTCCTGTCCAGCGGAAAATTGAAGCACGGTCGGCTGAAGACTCATTCACCGGTTTTGTGCGCATCTTGTACTTTGCTGACACCTTCTTAAGAGATAGTGAGTGAAATGAGCTTTTCTGTACCAGCTGACTTTTCTTGAGCTGAGAATGGAAAGAAATTGACCAACAGAGTGTATCTTCACTTCCTGGGCAGCACCTAGGCTAAAATATAACTCAGCGACATATACAAAGCTTGTTGCTATCCTCTCTTTCTTTTCTTTTCTTTTTTGTTTTGTGTTAAATTTTGCTGGGAATAGCTGTCTGACCAATAATTAACAATTCCGTTTCTGCATTAGCTCTTAGGGTAAGCTGCAGTAGGTGTGCATACATTGATTCTTGTAACTTCCTTGGGGAAACAACATTTCTGATCTTGCTGGATTTATAGAATCTGTTAGATATTGAGTAGGATTTGACCCGGGTGCAAAGGAATAATGCCTGGGGGAGGGGAATAAATTGAAATCTGTCTGTTGTGTTTTGGCCTTTTAACTTTGGAAAAAAGGTGATTGGGGCATGTAACTGAGATACAACATAGACATGGATGTAAGAAGAAGGCAGAGGCCAAATCAAACTGATGGTCCAACCTAAAGTAATTGATTGCTGAATCAATTACCAGTATAAAAATCCAGTACAGTGGTGCCTCGCTTAATGATTGCCCGCATTACGGCAAATCTGCTTTACACCAATGTTTTTGCGATCGCAAAACGATGTTTTAAATGGGTTTTTTTTGCTTTGCGAAGATCAGTTCCCTGCTTCGGGAACCGATTCTTTGTATTACGATGATCAAAACAGCTGATCATCGGGTTTTCAAAATGGCTGCTGTGCTTAGGGACGGATTCCTCGCTATGCAGGCACCGAAAATGGCCGCCGTATGGAGGATCTTTGCTGGACGGTGAGTTTTTAGCCCATTGGAACGCATTAACCGGGTTTTAATGCGTTTCAATGGGCTTTTTATTTTCGCTTTACGTTTTTGCTCTACAGCGATTTCGCTGGAATGAACTAACATCGTTAAGCGAGGCACCACTGTATATAAAAAAACCCAGTATATATATTTTGTATTAACTTGATGCAATGACTCTAACTAGGACTAGCAACTGGGTTCCATCCGGAAGGTTTTTCTCCCTCTCGTATGATTGAAATCCAGGACCATCTAGTGGATTTAAACAGTGGGAGTGTTAGCATAACAAAAATAATTATTTCTTCAATCATGATGCCATTAAACAGGGATTCGACAAATACATGAAACACAAGATGGTTAGTAGCTGTCTCCCAGGTCTGGGACAGTGTGGTGAGGGGATAGAGTGCAGGAGGGCAATTGCCATCAAGTCCTGCTTTTGGGCTTCCTCTTGGATAAATACCTGAGCTGTAACTCTCCTGGATTTACATAGATTTCCAGAACTATGTATGTTATGACATGGATGACCAAATTTGATGCCTCATACGCTTTAGAGAGTATATGTGTTCCATGCAAGAGTATTGTGGAAGCTTAAGCAAGTGAAACAGTGTTAAGTTCCATTTTCTGTCCCTTGCTTTACATGATGATTCCCTTTACAGCAGTGGTCCCCAACCTTTTTGACCCCGTGGACTGGTTGGGGAAGGTGGGGCCCCCCCCCCCCGGCATGCTCATGTGCATGGGTGAAGGGTGGGGTGGTGACTGGTTGGGGAAGGTGGGGCACCCCCCCCACGTGCTCATGTGCATGGATGAAGGGTGGGGTGGCGCTCATGTGGGCGCTCGGATTCATGCGCGAATGGTGGGGCAGCGCTTGTGCAGGCAGGTGCACACCCTCATGCGCGAAGGGTGGGGCAGCGCTCGGGGGCATTTGTGCACATGCACGAAGTGGTGGGAGAGCACTCACATGGGTGCAGAAGCAAAGGGGCTTGTGGGGGAGTCTGTTTCCACAGCCCAGTCCAGCTCAGGCCATGGACCAGGGGTTGGGGTCCTCTGCTTTACAGTGTCTTACTCCTTTCCCAGGTACGCGACACAGTCCTTCCTTGTGGGCAGGCACAAATGGGGGCACAGTATATGCCTTTTGCCTGCGTGTTCCTCCAGCTGAGAGAAGAATGGATGAGCCTGTCAGAGCAGAACAAGGTGAGTAGATGCTACAGGTACATGTAGATTGATCGTCGTCGTTTAGTCGTTTGGTTGTGTCCGACTCTTCGTGACCCCATGGACCAGAGCACACCAGGCCCTCCTATCTTCTACTGCCTCCTGTAGATTGATGGCACTCCATAAATTTAGTATTGAAGGGACATATATGACATGCCCTAGTGGGGATAAAAGCATGCAATCTTTTGCAGAGGTTTCATATTGTCTTGTGGGCTGAGTGCAGCAGGGGATCGGAGGTAGTGCACACGGTCTGTAAAAGCAGAGCCAAAAACCGTAGGAATGGAGTCCCACCTTCACTCCCGTGTATTTGTTTAACAGTCCCTGGCTTTGTTGAGATTGATGCTTTGATGAGAAGCATTTTTGGATTTTGTGGTGTTCTGACCTGCCTAGCTCTTATAGGCCTACTTCAGAGTAATATTAATCTGAAGTTGCCAAATGTCCTGAATGTATTTCATCCTTACTCCCTTCACTATAAGCAGCACTTTTTAACCGGAACAGACCTTCAGCTGTGAAAGGAGCCCAGAGCCTGTCTGAAAACACATCTCTCTTGTGGGGACGAGGTAGAAAAGTGTCGTCAGACACAGGAGGTGTGATGAGTAGGGAGGATGATCTAGTCAAGCATGAGGGATGGGATCTGGCTAGATCAGAGGCAGGTAATTTATGGACAGTGGTTGATAATGTAGGTTTTTGGGCAGCAGGTTCTTTCCGCCTTGGCCGCTGGCAGAGCCAACGATGAGGGCTCGTGGGGGCTGCAGTCCAAGAGCCATTTGGGTGGGCCTCATGTTACCCACCCACCGACACAGCCAAACATCTGAGATGGAGTATATCTTCTTAATTATCTCACTTGAGATAGTCAGGGAACATGATTCAGCCACTTTCCCTTGGGTGCTGTGTGGCATTCAGAGAAAGTCAGAGAAAGAATGTGTATGCTTGCTGTCACTTATGATATGAAATCAACTGCCTTTTGTCTTCTGCTGCAGGAAATAATCCTTCCCTTCTCTGGGGCATCACTGCTTAGATGCTTATTGAGCTCTTGGCTTGCCTCATCTAAACTCATTGACTTTTCAGTGTTTCTCTATTAATTACATTTGTATCCAGTCTTTGTTTTCTGCAGCTTCGGGCAATATTATGTGACTTTCCCCCTTCCTTGTGTATATTTGCAACAGTCTTATTAGATGACTTAATCTGAAAGAGAAAGACTGGCCCGGAGGTGAACTACATGGCTGAGTAAAGCTGTGAACCCATTTATCTCTTTTCCTACTCTCAAAACACCATACATATAGTCTCCTTCAGTATTTCTTCTGCTTTGGCGGGAACAGATCGTGACACTGTTCAGCCTCCCACACATCCCCAAGCAAAACACTGCCCTTATCTGTTTCAGAAACTCACCAAGTCTCACTGAAGAAGGAAAGTCGTGCCCTGCAGAGAAGTTTGGGTGCTGGTATCTTCTTGTATAGACTTTATGCAATGCTTTTCCTTTCCCTCTCACAGCCAAAGAGATCCAGCTGATGCATAGAGCTCCTGTCGTTGGGATTGTAGTTCTGGATGGCCAGAGCGTTCCTCTTCCAGAGCCACTGGAAGTAGCCCATGACCTTTCCAAGAGCCCCAACATGCAAGGAAGCCATCAGCTACTGGTGGTCTCTGAAGAACAATTCAAGGTAACAGTGCTCTCTCTCTCTGTGAGTTGAGCTCCTTATCCATTGGGACAGCAACCACAGAACATCCAGAGATTTACTTCCTTTTGACGTCTCTTTCTTGAGCTTATCCAACAGACTTGCAGTACCTTGAAGATTAGCATGTTTTATGTGGTATAAACTCTTCATTTGTCAACTACTTCTCATTTCATCAGAAGAATCTGATGAAGTGGACTGTAGTCCACAAAAACCTACAGAGAATAACACTTGCTAGACTTTAAAGTTCCACTAGATTCTCTGTTGTTTTAGCTACAACAGGCTACCCGTTAGAAGCTCCTTGAACCTTCCTGTTGCTCAGGTTGCTTCCCTAGAACGGGAGATTTGGGTTAAGGTGGAAGAAACATATTGGAGGAGCCTGACTACTAACCAGCTCTCCACTAAGTTTGCATACAGGAGACCCTTGCAGGCCTATACTATATCTTAGTTTTAGGGATGTCGTATGTTTTGCTTAAAGGCACAAATCTCATGGCTTGCAAATCCCTTGGCAATGAAAGGCAGCAAAATCTAAGTATTGCTGTTCAAGGAGAGAAAAGCTGCAGGTTCCTGTTGGCAGCTTGTTTTCATGTGTTTGTCTTGCCAGAAAGGAACAGGAAACCCTTGGCAACTGACAAAACACAGAGTATGGAAAAAAAGGGAGTCTCACATACCTTGTTCGATTGACAGGTTTTCACCTTGCCCAAAGTCAGCTCCAAGCTGAAGCTCAAACTGACAGCGCTGGAAGGCTGCCGAGTGAGGAAGGTGTCCGTTGCCAGCTTTGCCAGCTGTAAAACGGACTACATGGAGAACAACCTGACTGTTCTGACAAACCTGGGAGACATTCAGATCATCTCCCTGCCTTCGCTCAAAGGCCAAGTGCGCTATCCCTGTATCCGCAAGGAGGACGTCAGCGGCATTGCTTCCTGTGTGTTCACAAGATATGGGCAAGGTAACAGCACGGTCGTTCAGTAGGTTAGCAAGCTCTGCTTATGTGAGGTCTTTGAAATGCCTTTGCCTCTTGCCTGAAATGTAGGGCTTGAGATATGGGGCAGAGAAAGAGAGGAGACCCGTTCTGTGCACAGTGAGGCAAATGTTATACTCCAGGACTACTTCTGCCTTAATATTTGCATGTCTTAATTTAAAGGGAGTGAAATTATCCCTAAAAGGAGATTTCCTGGATTGCTGGGGGTTGGATTATTTGCTCTTTGGGATCTCTTCCGACATTTCTATGTCTTCTGGGGGAATCACAAGAATGCTTGCATGAGGAATAGGTCACATGGGGACTGGATAGGAATGCTTACATGGCTTCCTATATCCACACAAATTTGTTGGTTCAGGAGCTGGGTAGGGTTCTTTTTTAAAATGTAGTTGCAACACCACACACAGTATTGGAAGCCACTCTGTGCTAATATCCAGTGTATATTTAGTCTGAATTTGGTTCAGCTTTTTTCACCTGCGCTTATTTCCCAATTACTGGGTGCAGTTTCTCAGCCTTTTAAGCTGAGCTTGCTAGATGGCAGATCGGTGTACAAATGCATTTTAGGGAATCCATTTCTTCATTAGGGAATTTCTTCTATAATGTCAGTGTAGCTGTATGTGCACAACTCATGATTTCTCTGTCTTTCCTTCCAGGATTCTACCTCATCTCCCCGTCAGAATTTGAGAGATTTTCCCTTTCCCCAAAGTGGATAGTTGAGCCACGATGTCTAGTGCGGGTACCTGAAAACACAGCCAACAGTCACCTTCACAACACGTCAGGCATGGAGAAAGCCCAGAGGAAATCCAAGTATGACCTATTAGAGTTGAAATTTGACCTAGACCACTGTTTTGTTACGCTCTGACCAGAGGGTATTTTGATAGCGGACCCAGATCATACCGTACATCCCTGTGTCATTGAAAAGAATAAATAACCTCAGGAATGCTCAGTTGTGCATTCCTGAGATGTCTACAGCTGTGTAGTGCGACAGCACAGAACCGCAGCCCTGTGAGGTAGGTTTGGAGTGGACAGAGGCAGCAGCCAAAGCAGGAGGGCACTAAGGGTTGTCATAGCTGCCTGTCTAAATAGTCCTGAGGAAGTGCATCTTGTCTAGCTGTTACCATTTTAGATTGCATAAAGAGACCTATATGCAAGTGTGTGATATTCTTGCTCTAGAATGTCCCTGGAAGGGGTTTTTATTTGTATTTCTTGTCACACGCCAAGTCTACAGGACTGATGGGTGACAAGAAATGCAAGCACTGGTTTCTTAAACTTCAGATTTACGCCATTTGCTTTGGCTAGCAGTCAGAAGTAATAAGATTGTCCCTGGAAGGGATTTTTAGCTTGGGCCTCCTACTGACATGCTGACATTTTGTGTACAGGTATAATTTTATCGCAAGAAGCATGCACTCATGTGAACCTAAAATGTGATGTGGTGAAATCTAGAGCAAGGTTCTTCCTTGCTAAGTAAAGAGTTAGACTGATGTTAAATTGTTCCATCTGTTCATGCTTGTATTTTCAGCCCCCTTTTTTCCCCCAGACACAGCTGGTGCCCTTCAGTGTAGTGCAGTGTGAACCAAGGCACCGGAACCATCTGTGTTGTGTTTTGGTTTGGTTTTTTAAAAGATGCCACAGATTATAGGTGTGACATAACTCAGATTCCACTTGGTGTGAATCAAGGGGTACAGCAGCAGTAGCATTTGGTTTGTCAAGTTCAGGGCTGGGGTTCTTTTTAAGGATGGTTTGTCCCATTAGACATTTTTTTCTTTTGCAGCAGCAGGGAATCCAGTTGGAATTCCGGTGATCCGGATGGAGATGGTAAGCAAAACACAACTGCACAGAATTATACTGCTGATATTAGAGCCTTAATCAGTAAATTGAACCAGCATCCAGGTTAGATTATCCCAACATGAGGACCATTGGGAATTGTGAAATGGGATCAGGATACAATTGCAAGGCTATTGACACCTAATTAATACTAAGAACCTTAGGAGCTACCAGATTGTTTCTGGGCACAATTCCCTGTATTAGCTTGATGCATAAAGTCCTTAACACAGCCTGGAACTGCAAATACTCCGTTTAACTTCCACACTGGGCTTTTCTACCAAACCAGATCATGGTCATAATTCAGAGGAGCAAGGAATTATCTGATGGGGCAAGCAAGAAGTGTTCTTGGCTTTTAACAACTTCTAGAAATGGATGTGCTAAGTGTTATACACTTCAATTTCCCCCCCTGTTCATTTGGATAAGGTGTTATTAAATTTCAAGAATGTATGTGAGTATTAATGGGATTGTTTCCCTCAACATTTTTAATGCTTTGTTTTTCAGGAAGGACACCTGGCCGGCTGATGGAGCACGCCCTCCTCAATGATGAGAGTGAGATGGACATGCCTTACTTTGAATGATGGGGTGGTGAGATGAGCAATCTTGGGGGATGGTTGTTGTGGGTTTTTCGGGCTCTTTGGCCGTGTTCTGAAGGATGTTGTTCCTGATGTTTCGCCAGTCTCTGTGGCCGGCACCTTCAGAGGACTGGAGTCAGAACTCTGTTCTGGTGGCTTCTGGGTTGTCTTCAAGGGCAGCACCACAAACAGTACATTACGGTAACCTGTCCTGGAGGTGATCAGATAATTCCTGTGCATTTCTTTAGCAAAATGAAGCTTGTCTGAATTTACTTGACCTGGTGATCCAGAAAGTTGCTACTTAACCTTTAACCATTTGAAGGAAAACATAAAATTCAGTTAACTGAACAGCGAATATAATGTGATGCCATTCACTATGCACAGAATCTGTTAACTCCTGACAACTAATATTCTGCTGTCAGATTCACTATGCACAGAATCTGTTAACTCCTATTCTGCTGTCAGTGTTTGGAGAGCGGAGCGTAAAAGAGACCATTCTGAAGAGAGAGAGAGAAGTGAAAGCAGAATAGGTTTTTGCATTATTAACGCTGTGAGTTGTGGAGTTGCTGCACCTTTTTTCATGACTGCCTCCTCTGTTACCCCCCTGCAGATGTTCTGAAAGAAATCCAAAGCACCCTGGAGAGTGGAAGAGGGTGAGTGCCCTGGTTGAAGCTTCTTATTTCTGTTGGAGCTGGTGATGTTGCCTTCTGGTGACAGGAAGAAGGGGGCACAGGGAACATCTGGAAACACTGCTTAGCAAACTGGAAATGCTGCGCAGTGTTCCTTCTTCAGGGTTCTTCTTCATATTCTCTGTTTCTTCTTGATCGCATATTCCCAGATGCCGTTGCTCTGAAAGGAATGATGGTGGGAATGATACTTTACTGAATTCCTGCTTAAAGTCATTTCAACCAACTTAAGTTAAAAATGTTGACCATCTCAAGTCTTTTGAAAATTCAGGATGTATGAAGATGGGGATAAATTGTTTGGGTTTCTTTAGAGTTTACTTATTAGGATGGTTTTTCTTTAATGAATAAATGGATTGGAAAGTTGCATATAAAACACACTTAAAGAGTAAAGTGGCATCTAAAGAGTACAGTGGTGCCCTGCATAGTGATGATAATCCATTCTGAAAAAATCGTCGCTATGTGGATTTGTCACTATGCGGGGCAAAAAACCCCATAGGAACGCATTAAAACACATTTAATGCGTTCCTATGGGCAAAAAACTCACCGTTATGCGGAAATCCTCCATGCGGCTGCCATTTTTGCTGCCCGGTAAGCGAGGAAAGGGTGCGAAAACACAGCGGTCGGCCATTTTCTTTACCTGGTGGCCATTTTGGAACTGCCGATCAGCTGTTTTTAAAAATCGCTATGCAGAAATCGGTAAGCGAGCGCTTACCGATCATCGCAAAGCGATGTTTTACCATTGGAAACATCGCAGTGCGATCGCTTTTGCGATCATAAAAAAACATTGCTATGCGGATTCGTCAAACGAATCGCTCGCTATGCGGAGCACCACTGTATTACACAAATTGGCTGCCTTGGGGTTCCTGTGGATTCACTTTGTGGCACTAGAACATCAGGGTTTCCTTTGCAGAAATTCAGCTTCTTCAGACATAATTATTGATGTTCCATGGAATATTTTTTGTAGCAAATCATTTCGTTCTAGGTTTTGATGGTTGTGTTGAAGGGACAAAAGAGTCACACTATACAATGCTTAGTTTCGAAAGCAGAGATCTCCAAACATTTGAGCATGAGGGCCACATTGTATATTTTCAACATTTTTGAGGGCCGAAGTAACATGCGTGCACCTGTGTGCGGCCACACACACGCCTGCATGAACACCTGCCTGCACACAAGCACACCTGCCTGCACACACACACATGCCTCCCGCATGCACACACCTGTACAGGCTAAAGGGAACGGGCCAGATAAAACGGCAAGGTGGACTGGATGTGTCCCGTGAGCCGTAGTTTGGAGACCCCTGGTCTAAAGTATAACTGCCACAGGAAGGGGTAATTTCGTTTCTGTGTCACCAAAATATAAAGGAATAAATGGAGTTTTGTGGGAGGTTTTTTGTTTGGATGTTTTTCTTTTGATTTTTAGCTGCTGCATTGCTAACGTCTGTTGACATGGAACACCATGGGACTCCTGAGAGTCACAAAAATGGCAAAGGGGTTGCATAAAGACTGCATGTGGCTCATCCTTTCTGAAAGATATATGGAGTAGTTTATAGCACCTAAACACAGCAAAGTATGTGCTGTTGTTTCACATAATGGATGTGTATCTGCTGACTGCTTCCTTGCCTTTGCAGGAGTTATGCTGACAGAAATTCACGAAAAATCACAGTAGGACACAGGTTAAGTAATGGAGGAGGTAGGTGGCAGATGTTGACTCAAGTTATTATAAGAAATCAGTGTCTTATTTCAGACAAAGAATGTGCCTTGTCAAGCCTTGGGCCCATGTGCTGCTTCTCAGGCAGAGGAGACTGATAGCTGCTTAGTAAAACTTGTTATGTATCTCAGTTTCCCACAATGCCCATATGTCAGGGAGCCTATTTTGTGACCAACCCAGAATTATGTCTTTGTTTAACTAACTTTAATGATTAACTCGTTTTCAGCTTAAGGGTAGGGTGGGGGAAGGTATCGCCAAAGCTTAAATGCTGAGTCAACTTTGCAGTCAGTATTGCCTTTTTGTTATGCTGCCCAACATAGTACTTGCCAATAAGGCCTTTAAGGGTCTTTCCTCTGCCTCTACCATTGGCACTGAAGATTGCAAAAAGAGGGCCTGGCAAACAAAGGTTGAGTACCTTCTTCCTTCCTACTCTGTAATTTCGTCCCCTTAAAGCAGGTTGCAGCTGGGAACCTGGCCAAAATTCACTGCGTAAACTGACATGACTGATATAGTCGTCTGATTAACCTAATTCCTTCTCCTCTTGCCACCTCCCTGACATGAGAGGGTTGAGGCTTAGCTGGGAAGAGACTTCATTCCAGCTCTCTGAGAATGTGTGCCAACATACACTAGTTTTTTGTGAGCAAAAAAGGGGCTGTCTAAGCTTGCGGCTGAATAACGGCAGTTCTTGCTGCCAAAGTCAAGATGCTGTTCTGGAGGGTAGAGTTTGGTGAGCCAGGATAGTCTCTGGGGGCCACCAACATCCAGGGGGCAATTGCCCACCCTAGCTGTAGGGTGTTCTCTTCCAGCTGCTCTCGGTGATGTAGGGTAGTCATAGGGACAGTCTGTGGGAACTGAATACAGCACTGAAATTTGCAGAAGAGCCAAATTCAGTATTCTGTTTTGGTCTAGATGAATTCATAGTTGTCCACAAAGCAAATGTCCCTTTCTGGTTGTTTAAGAATGAATTGTGTGGTCTTCTCTTTTCAGCAGAATGATTGTGCTCCGGCCATATCACTGTGATCTCCGGCATTTAGAACGAGTGCCCTAACACTACTGACTCTAAGTCCTCCATCTATGGGGAGAAGCACCTGTTGACCTCGGATTCAATTGTAGGGGCCAGGTTCTTGCTTGGCTATTCGGCTCCTGGCCCTCTTCTTCACTGTGCCTCACCCAAAGCCTTCGCCTCCTCTTCTTGAATGGTTAGCCTTGTCCAGAAGCTGAAACCGTTCCTTTGGCCTGTTTCCCTTCGTGCCTTTGGATGGGGTGGTCGGCAAGGGGGGGCACAATTCTTTATACATTTGCACAAATTCTTTCCTTGTTTTAAACAAAGGTTTCTACTGGAGTGGATTTAAATTATAAATATTACTGCCTTGGGAGCAGATTTTTTTTTTTTAAAATAAGTACTGTTACTGCTGATTAACATTATTTTTTTGTACATTTTTAAAAATCATGGGTGTTTAGAGGCATATTTTAGAAACATTTTTATATTAAAATAATCTTGGATGATATAATATATGTACCTTTTAGATCCCTGTGGCTGCTGAATCTTTTTTTGTTTATGAGGAAAAATCCATTTTCTGGGGGAGGGTTGTCTTTTTACAGTACTGTTATAGGTGGTTCGACAGACTTGGATAGAATCTTTTGTAGCTGTTCAAATCAGGGGAAATTAATCAAATTGAACTTGGTGTGTGGACGCTACATTGCTATGTCTTGAAATAAATCAGTACCTTTATGGATTTTTTTTTAAATGACCAAGAAGCTTTATGTTGCACTGCTGTGTTATTGCATTCTCCTCAAATGTTTAGCAGACCTGCAAATACAAGAGACTTGACCTTCTTTCCTTAGGTATTTGTTGCGCTTTGGAGTTTGGCTGCTTTTCCATCTTACTCTGAAGGTTGTCTAAGGCATCTGCAAATGGCCGTACTAAAACGTTTCCTGTGTGCCTTGAGCTCTCTGCATGATGAAACATGGGTGCAAAGACATACACACACATAACCTCTCTCCTGCGGAATATGTGCTGTTGACTAAATTTTGGAAGTTACTTTCAGCCTAAGAGCTAAATGTAATTACTCAGTTGGGAAAACTCTGGGAGGCTGCACATCAAGTGGGGAGCAGGACCCAAAGAGAAGGTGGTAGAACCCAAAATGCCATGGTAGTGCCTTTTGGAATTGGACCAGATTCACTTGATATACATGACATACCAGGAAAATCTGGGGCAGATCATTGCCTGCTCAGCCCTGGAAACTCAACTGGGGAAGTGGAACTGGTAAAACAACTCCTTAAATATCTTACTTGCCTTAAAAGCCCTATGAGGTTCGCTATAAGTCAGTTCTGACTGTATGGCACATAACATACGATTCTGAAGAGATGTAATGCTAGCTAATACACAAAATGTGGTCACAGCAGGTCTTCACATCAGCATCTGGGTGGTGGTGGTGGTTAAACAGGAACAAATGTAAGAAATTTTGCATTTTGAGTGCTAGAATAGTTAAATGGTGGTGGTGGTGGTTAAACAGGAACAAATATAAGAAATTTTGTATTTTGAGTGCTAGAATGGTTAAATGGTTTAAGAAAGGCAAAGCCAAGATTTAAATCAGCACCTAGACATAAAGCTTGCATACTCTGTCCTACCCTCGCCCCCACTTTCAGGTCTCTCTGGCTACCTCTGAGGATAAAATGAGGTAGAAGAACAGGGCACACGTGCTATCTTCTTGTTGAAACTGTGTGTGTGCGTGTGCGCACAGAAGCCATAAGCTGATGGGGGAATTTTTACTCTTTTTGAAATGTGCTGGAGGAGAGCTTTGTGGATACCTGTGATCGGGTTGTTTGTCAGAATCTGACAGTTCCTTATTTTTGGCGGGAAATGACAAGAGTGGAGTTTCTTCGAATAAACTTTTATTAACAAAATCAACAGGTTTTTCGATTACAACTTCTAAAGGATCTGCAGGTTCATTATCAGCTGGCAAGTCCGCCCACAACAAGGGCAACGTGTTTTCATAAGTGTCTCCCTTTACTGGAAGGGCTGACCGAAACATTCCTGATCCGGCAGGTCTTCTCATACATCCACTCCTTACTCCGCAGATCGTCCTGCAGCAAGGATGACGTGACCACTCTCCGGGGAGGGGGGGTTCTCGTGAGGTCGGACTGTCCCTGGATGAATCACCCTCTTCCAGGGACCTCGTCTTTGCGGGTACACCAGGACTGTCCATTCCTCCAGCCCCAGTCCTTCAATTATTGTTTTTCCTTTTTTTCACCTTCCTCTCGGTCTCTTTTGCATCAATTATTGGTTTTCCTTCTTTCACCTTCCTCTCGGTCTCTTTCACGTTGCGGTTCTCTGCCCCTATCCCTTTTTGTGGGGTTTTGAGCACTCACGGCTCACTTTCCTCTTTTATCCATTCATCTATATAACACCACCTTTCTTCTGTTCCCCTCCCCCCCAGTCCTCTCCACCTTTTGAGGTCAGGAACACGTCGACCTCCCTTTTTCCTCCTTCCCCCCCACTCCTCCTCCTTCTTTCCTGCCTTTAACCCTTTCATCTTTGTTAGGATTTCTTCTACCACCCTTTGTCCAATTTATCTTTCTTCTTCTCTAAAGATGTTTGAGGGGACGGCTCACTCTCTTAACTTGTCTCCTCTTTTGCATCTTCCTTCTCACAATACCCTGGACTGCTAAAAAGATGAACAGGTGGGCCCTAGAACAACTCAAGCCTGAATTAACTCTGGAGGCAAAAAAAAAATGTTGAAACTGAGGCTGTCCTCCTTTGGGCACATCCTGGGAAGGCAAGATTCTCCGGAAAATACAATCGTCCTGGGATAGGTTGAAGGCAGCAGGAAAAGAGGAAGACCAAATGTGAGATGCATAAACTCTCTAAAGGAACCCACAGGCTTGAGTCTTCAAGAGCTCAGCAAGGATGTTGAGAACAGGACATTTTGAAGATTGCTCATTAATAGGGTCACCATAAACCAAAGGATACTTGATGGCAGGTAACAATCAACAACAACAACTGATGAGACGGTGCCTGGTTCACTCAAGCTTACACTGTAATGAGCTTGTTAGTTGCATGGGAGACATGAGACCGTCTGCGGCAGCAAAAGCACAGATGCTGCTGTTGCCCCTCAGCAGGACACGCCATCAGCCAGCCAGTTCCATGTCGTACCACAGGAGGGAACATGTGAGTTCCCTGTAAGGCTTCTGCAAAGCCACTGGTTGCTGAACGTCGGGCATCTTCCCACCCTGCTTGCATTTGCCAAATAAATGGATTCTGGAATGACATAAACCTGTGTGTGTGTGTGTATGTTCTTTATCTGCTCTCAACGCTCCTTGCATTACAGCTGAATATCATTAATCATAACAAATATCATAGCACCCTAAACTAACAGATGTATTGCAACATAAGCTTTTTAAGACTAAAGTCCACTTTGCTAATACGTAAGAATGTTATTCTGAGTTGACAGGCATATCTATATATGGGTTCAGGGCATAAAAAAAGGTGGGGTCTGAGTTTCATGGCAATAAAAAAGAAGTACAAATTGTGAGGATTTAATTGGAGCTTAAGTATTAGCTAATATATTCTTGAAGGCTTTCACAGGCCAGGATCTGATGGTTGTTGTGGGTTTTTCGGGCTCTTTGGCCATGTTCTGAAGTTTATTCTTCCTAATGTTTCACCAGTCTCTGTGGCCGGCATCTTCAGAGGACAGGAGTCTGAACTCTTGTCTGTGCTCTAGTGCAGTTTGTTTGGATAGTTGAGTATAGCTGTGGAATCAGCTTTTGTCCTTTTCAGCAGATGGGTGATCACTGCACACAAAATACCAGCTAACGGCACACATCAATCACAGTGACAAATAATCTCTCCCTCTTATCACAACAATGCACCCACAACAAAAAACACACTGATCACCATATTCACCCATTTCCTGAAGAGGACAAAAATTGATCCCACAGGTGTAAATACTGCACTCAGCTATCCAAACAAAACTACACCAGAGCAGAGGGTTCTGACTCCTGTCCTCTGAAGATGCCGGCCACAGAGACTGGCAAAACATTAGGAAGAACAACCTTCAGAACACAGCAGAAGAGCCCGAAAAACCCACAACAACCATTAGCTAATGTACTCATACTTCCACATATACAAAGTTTTAACAGATTGCTTAGGGGGAAAAAGAAAAGGCATATGAAGAAAAAGTCACAATTCTGGGAGAAACAATGTTATCACTATTTGTTCTGTCAGCACTGGATGATAAGCAGCACCTCTTTAATAAAGATTGACAGATGACTCAAAACAAACCATTTTGAACACTGTTTTCCCAGTAGATGGAGTGAACTGTGTTTAGATACAGGCATCAGGGGCATCGACTGTTACAACAATGTTGTTGCCTCCCCTGTCTGCAAACAAGGCAACAGAAACTATGTGAGATGACCAGAACCTGATGAAACAACTCAAAATCTACAATCAATATTTTTATTAGGGTCAACAATCCATTTAAACATGCGCAAGATGACTTTTGGCTCACACTTAACCTATAAAGTTGCTATCTTAATTTTGTTTCTGTGCAGGCAGAAGTCTAGCAGGTCAAAGACTGATATAGCGTAGCATATACTGGTCCCCCCCCTCCAAGGGAATCATCTGCACTTCTTCCTTCAACAATGCTGGGGTTAGGGACAGTCTGTTTATTTCTTGTATTTCTACTGCTGCTCTAATATTTGGGATCTGTATCTCAGTTCAGCAACTTGGGCTAGTACAGAAGACAGTTAAGGAGGATACTTGTGGAGGTAGTCGTCGTGTAGTCGTTTAGTCGTGTCCGACTCTTCGTGACTCCATGGACCAGAGCACGCCAGGCCCTCCTATCTTCTACTGACTCCCGGAGTTGTGTCAAATTCATATTGGTTGCTTTGCAGACACTGTCCAGCCATCTCATCCTCGGTCGTCCCCTTCTCTTGCCATCACACTTTCCCAACATCAGGGTCTTTTCCAGGGAGTCTTTTCTTCTCATTAG